GGTCTGCTGGATCCAGCCGTAGAGCTCCGCCTTGTCGTCGAAGCCAGTCGTCCAGAAGACCTCGCGGTTGTTGGGGTTGGGGCCGCCGTTGAAGTGCTGCTCCTGGCCGTAGTAGACGATGGGGATGCCGTCGCGGAGCATGGTCAGGGCGTACATGTTCTTGGCGAGGGCGATGTCGCCGTTGAGGTAGGGGAAGCGGGGCTGGTCCTGGTTCTCGACGAAGGAGCCCCAGACGGAGGGGTCGATGGAGGACATGCCAGCCATGGTGTTGGCGCTCTCGTAGACCTTGTCCATGTCGCCCTCGAGGGTGGAGAAAACGGTGGCGAAGAGATGATAGCTGCTGTAGTCCATGATGCCGTCGAGGTAGTTCTGGTAAGGGGCGAGCAGGGTCAGGGAGGAGTGGCTGACCTCGGCGAGGAGGAAGACGCCGGCGGCCTCGCGGAAGCCACCCTCGGTGAAGAACTCGGGCTCGATTTCGAGGGCGGTGTCGACGCGGAGGCCGTCGATGGAGTACTTGGTGACAAGGTCCTTGATCCACTCGGCGTAGATCTTGCGGACGAAGTCGTCTTCGGTGCGAAGGTCGGGCAGACCCTCGAGCCAGCAGAGCTGCTCGGACTGGAGGTTGTTCCAGTTGATGGAGCACTCCTTGTGGTAGTACTCGGGCTTGTTGAAGGGCTTGTACTTTGTGTAGTTGCCGGGAGAGTCGTTCAGACCGGAGTGGTTGGGGGCGACGTCGACCATGAGGTACATGCCGCGGGCGTGGAGAGCGCTGGAGAGCTCCAAGAGGTCGGCCTCAGTACCAAAGTGCGGGTTGATGGAGTAGAGGTCCTCGGTCCAGAAACCGTGGTAGCCCTCTCCGTTGCCACCGACGTTGCCCTCGACGTTCTTCACGACGGGAGAGATCCAGATAGCGGTGGCGCCGAGGTTCTGGATATAGTCCAGCTTGCTGGTGATGCCCTTCCAGGTGCCGCCACAGTACAGGCCTGGGGTGATATCGCAGACCGGGGTTGAGCCGTCAGAGGTGGCAAAACGGTCGGTAATGATCTGGTAGATACTCTGGTTTCTCCATCCGGCGGCATCCAGGGCCGAGACGCCTTGCAGGGCCCCAACGGCCAGCAAAGAGAGTGTTGTTGCGAAGGAGCGCATGTTTACTTATTTGGTGAGAAGATTAAGGTATTAAGGCAACGGTCGATTACCCAGAAGAAGGAAGAACAACGAGCAAGAGAAGACACGATGTAAAGAGAGTCGATTGGTGAACGATTGGAGTGTAATGTCCGGCAGGGATCAAACGAACGATGACAGCACAAGGCAGAACGAGTGATTGCCTTGGCTTAAACTGCGGCACCTACAGAGAGAGGGATGGAGGAAGGGAGGGAGGGAGGAGGAGGAAGAGAGACTAAGCTCAAGTGTGAAGACAGCGGTTAACTAGCATTTATTGTATCTTCACCCATAAGGGCCACGAGCAGTTTACTCCCACATACCAGACTCTCGTCTTTTGACGAGGGCCTCGTTTCGCGGACCCCGTCCAAATCGCCCCTGCCAGATGGGCTGTGCTATTGGCAGAATACGAACAACATGCCAGATCGAGTGATCCCGGCCGATTTGGGTGAGCTCACGTTGTCCCTTTTGAATCAGATCCCGGTTGTCGTCTCCATCCGTAGATCCACTACCGTCCCTACCCATGCGGTGGATGGGGTGGTCTAGAGTCCTAGACGTAGCATTCGTCGACAATTCGGATACTGCGAAACGCATCGTTAGTGGAAAGGAAGGATTTAAGCGAGGCAAAAAGTCAGGTATACGAGAGAATGGGGACAACAAGGCTCTTGTGGGAGGATATCAGAGCCCAAGAGGAAGGCGGTGATAAAGAAGAGGCTCCTTTCTGCGCATCCTGAACAGGGTGTTTGGGCGCTAACACAATCTACATTAGACAGTCAACCCCGGCTCTCCCGTCCGAGTCGGCTCGAAAACGGCAAAGCCCCAAGTCGGATAGTTTCCGGCGACGGGGGCCCTTCTCCACTTTAATCCCGATCGGTCAATATTCCACTCTTCTATAGAGTGCTTTTCTGATTAATCGCGTTGGCTCTTCCGCCGTGAATGAGCGAATGGATTCCCGGCTTTTCCTAATCGGTGAGCTTGCGTTTGGGAGAGAGTAGATGTTGCCCCCTTCTGCAGTGCTGCAAGTGCTGGAGCTTTTGTTCCTGGTCCCATCTGGGTTTAGTCCATCGGTGTGAGCGTGTTTGTCACTTGTGATGATCCCACGTTCCGACGCAGGAGAAACGGGGTCTTCCGTGAGGCTGCGAACTTGAGCTTGAGCTCGAATCAGATTCAACGAGAATGGACCAACTGGTGCACTTTTGAAGTACAGACAGCTCATGAGGTGGGTAAGTGATGAATTTGGTGAACGGGTGGGGCAGACTAGCGCGACCTCCGAAGATGTTTGTTTCATAGCACCTTACCTTCTCCTTTGAGTCAATGGAGACATCAATGTCGAGCCAAAGTTGTATCGCGAAGTTGTAGAGATGTTACGACAGGTACAGACATGTTTACCACTCTCATGCTGTCGAATAAGTCAAAAAGTAAGAGTCCTTCAGATGAATGCAAACCCCCTTTCCTGAGCCAGCCTATTCTCATCCTTATCCTCATGTGGGCTGTTTCCAATTGCTTTTACTAAAAGACCGCTGATCGTCTTCGTATTGTGACAATATACTTTCAGTGTTCAATGTAATTGACTTTCCGTTGGATTCGAGTTAGTTGTCAGAGCTGTTTCGCTAACATTCTCGGACAATTGGCGAGATTTGAGAGTGGAAGAAAGATTTTGCGGAAAGCTTGGATCAGAGGCGACTTTTTCCTACTGACACGTTAAATGCTATAATGTCCTCAACTTGCCCGGTTGTTTTTGGCAAGACGAATCCTGGAACTCTCTATTCTCATCGGATGCGCTCTTGCAACCGTCGGCTTGTCGGCTATGGAAGTAGCGGACAGCGGGTTCTTTGGCAAGGTACAGATGCTCATTGCACAGCGTGCTCGGTGAGAACGGCCCACTTCTTTCCCGGAAAATCGAAGAAATATCAGTCCCTCAGGAATTATGCACCTATCCGTACTGAGATGAAAGATTTAGATGACGACAGGAACTGGTGAGAATATTCCCACAAACGGAGTACTCGTCCGCAGGCGAGAAGGTGAGCACGGGATATAGTGGAGAACCCACCGTAAATGCAACCTCTTTAGGCGGCTCCTGTGATATGACGTAAGTTGGAAGACGGCACATGGCTTCCAGCCAGCAGACAGAACGACGCGATGCGCTTGTGGCCGTATACGTATCTGCCACATAATACAGGCATATCTGGACTGTATTCTTGCATCCATGTTGCATTTGACATGCAAGATATTGATTTTCAGATGAATCCAACGGCGGACGTTGGAAAGCCGACGCCGTTGAAGTCTGAATGGGTCCCGCCAACCTTTTTTAATGGGCACTGCGACCTTCTAGTCTCAACCTTAAAAAGCGTACCTACCTTACTAAGGCAAGCACGTAAGCTCCTTCCACGTGCCGGGGAAACGAATCCGACTACATGTCTCCATGATCTCGATAGGAAAATGAAGATGAGCATCACGGCGAGGATTCAGATGTACAGGGACCCGACGCAGCGATATCGAACTGACACCTCACTCACAGATACGTCGCACAAGATGTGGTGAGACCCGAGTAATGATGTCAATAGGACCATCAACGGCCAAGAAATGCGGCACAAATCCAGCCGTGGCAGGATCGCTTAGCGCTTTCTGGGCACAGCATTAGGTCGCAGGCACTGAATCTTGACTTTACTGGGCGATGTCCCGAACCCTTGGCGGTCGGGGAAAGAGCATAATGGCATCCCAGGCACGTGATGCCAAAATTCGAGATCCAATCAAGGCAGGCACAAGCTCCAAGTTCACCTCACCTCCATCTCACATCACAGGCAGGGACACCCAGGCGTTCTTTCCGCACTAGTTCACTTGACAGGGGCACACTTCCCTCCTTCCTACGGTCCTACCTGACAAACTACGGCGGACCCATTTTACGTCTGCAGATTCAACGTCATCTCTCTCAACCACCTTCCTTCATTCTTCTCACCACAGACTTCTCGCGGAAGCAACCCAATTTGCCAGCGAAGTCCAACACAACCTTTCATCTTCGACCTCAGATCGGTCGATCCCACCCTCTTCGCGTTCGAGCAAGCTCTCCAGCGATAATTTACGAGCCGATGGAACGCGTGCTAACTTGTCTCTTCACACCCAGGTTTCGAATCCTTCCTACCTGGCATGCCCTGGCTACCACTCGAAATCAAACAAATGATCTACACCCAAATGATATTTCTCTCACCACAACCTGACAGCTGCCTTGCGAGTACCGACCTCCTCTCGCTCCCGCAACCAACACGACCCCTTCTCTGAAGATGAAGCTATCCTCCCTGTCACACCGTCTGCAAGCGCAGACATGAAAAGCGTCATGACGTCTTCCAAGATCCTTCCAACGCCTGCTGGTAAGTGCAAACGAACTTGTCGATCTGCGGCTTCAGTTCCGTTTCCTATTGACCCATGGTTTTTCCAATTCTTGCGGGTTTCTCCCCCGCATTCAACCCCACCCCCGCTCTCCATTCAATCCACAGATGCGACCGCTCTAGCTTTCCACCTTCTCGGTGTCGGTCGAGGCGAAGCTTGACGGAGAAGTCTCCGATTACGTCGTTGTACAGAGCTATCTTCAATTTTTCGTTTCTTGGCGAGTGTCTGAGTACATAAGGAGCCAAGCTATCCCAAGCCGGCAGGCTATCTTGGCTATCTTGGGATACGAATTTACCCATCTATTTCTCCTCCAATTTCTAGTCTGCACCCCTTTCTTTGCCCAGGACGTTTATTCCCTGGTGGCAGTATCCCGACTTCCACTTGGCTTCACCCACCAACGTGCCGGCGTTCAACCATCTTTCCTACCAGGCTGAAGCTCGGTCGTCGCCACCACTAACATGGCTTCGCATCTGAAGCGAGAAAAGATTGGCGACCAGTCATCGTCAGGCCATGCCGAGCCCGAGTTCTCTCATATGGACCATCCCGGACGACAGTCCGAGGCCACAGCGGTTGACGACGAGGAGAGAAAGCGCCTGGAGGCTTCCCGCAAGCTGGAAGATCCTCTTGCTGGGTTCACGCCCGAACAGTTGAGTCAAAAAGGCGAGGACTACTGTCTAGAACATGGCATCGCCGACGAAGAAGACATTCGGGCCTTTCGCCTTGGCGCCATGATCGCTGGAAATATGAACAAGTACGATAGCATGACTGAAATCACTGCCGATGAACGCGCGGTGCTTGACGGCGAGTCCACTCACAAGTGGCGGAACCCAAAAATGCTCTATGGTGTTGTTGCCGGTAGGTCTTCCAGTCTCTTTACTCTTTTTCCTATATCTATCTTTTCTCTGTCTTGTTTCATACTTACCTCTCCAGCCTCTCTCTGTCTACGTCTTTCTCTTTACGTACAGAGGCTGACCCTCCCCAAGTTTGTTCATTCTGCGCCGTCGTTCAGGGTATGGACGAGACTGTTGTCAATGGCGCCCAGTCCTTCTACAAAAAGCAGTTCGGCATCGGAGAAGAGACTGAGCGAGACACCTGGCTCCTTGGCCTGACGAACTCTGCTCCATACCTCTGCTGCGCCGTCATCGGTTGCTGGCTGACAGAGCCCATGAACAAACGGTTCGGTCGCCGGGGCACCGTCTTCATCTCCTGTCTCATCTCTGCCTTGGCCTGTTTCTGGCAGGCTTTCACCAATACTTGGTGGCACATGTTCATCGCTCGCTTCTTCCTTGGTTTTGGCATCGGCCCCAAGTCTGCCACGACCCCGATGTTCGCCGCCGAATGTGCGCCTCCTCGCCTGCGTGGTGCCCTCGTTATGCAGTGGCAACTGTGGACAGCCTTTGGCATCATGATGGGTTACGTTGCCGACTTGGCATTCTACTACGTGCCTGACAAGAGTGGTATTGTCGGCCTCAACTGGCGGCTGATGATGGGCAGTGCCATGCTGCCTGCTGTCTTTGTTTGCGCATGCTGCTACATGTGTCCCGAGTCCCCACGATGGTACCTGACCAAGGACCGCCACTCTGACGCCTACAAATCCATGTGCCAGTTACGCTTCAAGAAGGTACAGGCTGCTCGCGATCTCTTCTATGCCAATGCTCTTCTACAGGCCGAGAAGGAGACACAAGGCATCGGTAAACAGAACCGTCTCAAAGAGTTCTTCACCGTCAGAAGGAACAGAAACGCTATGATTGCGTCAGAAATTGTTATGTTTCTCCAACAATTCTGTGGGATAAATTTGGTCGGTAGGTGCACATTTCGCGATTTAACGGTCATATAATAGAGACGGGGTGCAAGCTGCTTCCTACCGGAGGCTTCTCTCCATTCGTTCATCTCAAACACAATGCTGACTGCGAATAGCTTATTACAGTACCGAGATCTTCCTAGCTGCGGGTTTTCCTGAAGTGAGTGCCTTATCGGCATCCCTTGGCTTTGGCATTATCAACTGGCTCTTTGCTTTGCCGGCTTTCTACACCATCGACACCTTTGGACGGCGCAATTTGCTCCTCACGACTTTCCCGTTGATGGCCGTCTGTCTCTTCTTCACCGGCTTCTCATTTTTGATACCCACAAATCCCGCCAAGATTGCCTGCATCGCCTTGGGTATCTACCTTTTCGGCATGGTCTACTCTCCCGGCGAGGGCCCAGTTCCTTTCACGTACTCTGCCGAGGCCTACCCGCTGTACATCCGACCCATCGGCATGTCCCTGGCAACGGCCACGACATGGTTCTTCAACTTCATTCTCGCCGTGACCTGGCCCTCTCTCCAGAAAGCTTTTACGCCTACGGGCGCCTTTGGGTGGTATGGCGCTTGGAACATCATCGGCTTCTTCCTGGTGTTATTCTTCCTCCCAGAGACCAAGGAGAAGACCCTCGAGGAGCTAGACGCTGTGTTCAGCGTGCCCTTGCGTACGTTTGCGCGATACGGGCTTGCGCAGTTCTTCTATTTTTGGAAGAGATATGTGTTTAGGCGGGATGTTAGCCCGCCCGCTGTGCCGCATGCTGGAGGGGTTGATTACCATCGCGACTCATTCAAGCAGGAGAAGCAGCACAACCCGACTGCTCGTGTTTAATTAGGGGTACTTGAATATCCGAAGCAAGTCGTGCTACTACTGAGCCAGGGCAGCGTAGAATGGGTCAAAAGATACGGAAAGGATGGCCGCTGTGTGCTAATGGCATGATAATACCACTATCTATCGCTTGAGGAATATTTGGACGTGTGACGTATATCAGAGCAAGGAACACTTGTCCGAGTAACGGCATGTTTGAGTTGTAATACTACATATTTGGAAACGATTTATGAAGCGACCAATGTCAAGCCCACGGTGGCGAAAGATCGATTGATCTAAACGTCCCATTTGAGGGGCGCCACGCCTGCCCGGCGTGCGACTAGTGTTTTCTATTCCTTGCTATTTACAATATAAAGGTTGGTTACTATCACATCATATTCGGCCACTCATATCCGTAAGATTTCGTGTGGCAGCCTCCCGGGGCGTGGCGAGCGGCGAGGGCGGAGTTTGCACGCGGCGGGTGTGTTGGCACACCGCTAATGAGTGAGTACGATTATCTTGGTCGTCTTCACAATCTCAGGCGATGTGCTGACCACTGAGATTGCTGACCTGACTTCTGCCTCCAGTCCGGAAGTCCTAAACTCGTTTGTTTATCTTAGGTACTCTACTTGTACGTATCTACTTCGCTGCTCTGTGAATAGTAGTTGATCAAGTGTCTAAAGTTGAGAGAAGGGAAGCAAGTAGCGGCTGATACGAAATCTCCTCTTCCTTGCCACGCTTCATTCTCTCGGCGTATTCAAATCAATCACCTGACATTGCACCCTAAGAACCTGAAGAAGTCTCCTTTGAACGATTCTCCGACTCCACTCATCCAGTGCAGGTGAAGGTTTTCTCGAGCCCCCGATTACTCCTTGGGATGGAGGGGCGAGGTGTACCGTAAGGTACTTGGACCACTTCTCCTTCTCTCCTATCATAAGAGGCACAAGGGGAACGTGGCCGAGGGGTATTTGGAGGAAGTCATAGATTAATTCATAAGTCCGAGGCCTCACTCAACCTAACCTTTTGTTCGATTCACCATCAGTGACTTTTTTTCCCCTCTTCCCTTTCCTTTTAGCATCTTACCGTCCCCTTACTCTACTCGAATTCAGCTGGGAACATAGAAATTATTGTTGTTTTCGAACCCATGCGCGTCTACTATTGAGGCCCTAGCTATCTCCCACCTCGTGTCACTCGAACCTGCAGAACAAGTATGATTCGCATGCGTATTCGTCTGCGTATGCGTCAACTCACAGCCTGAGGTATCACAAGACATGGCGGGGCGTGGTCTATATACCGATTCACCTCTCAAATTCTCAACAGCAGTAAAAGGGACTCTTGCCCAGAAGCCTAAGATGGTTATACCCCTAATCCTGAAGTGCAAAGCTACCGAGCTGTAGTTTGTGGATTCGAAATCCCCAAGCAACCTTCGTTTTTTCCCCCTTGTTCTATCTTTTTCTTCCCGACTTGAGACTGAAATATTTCACATCGCCAATTGGGCGGAGGCAATGACGGATGACCTGCCTTGAGGTACGCATGGGTTTGTCCTCGCGGATTGATTCCTTTGACGTTCGAGATATAAGCGATGTGATAAAAGCAGTCTCTGAGACAGATGGACTACAGTTTATCTACCTTTGAGACGCACCTGAATGACCATACCATTCAAACATGTCACTGGCTGGACAGGTCAGTCTAACTTGAAGCCCTCGAGCAAGGAGGAACTGCCACCTGTATAAGGGTCAGGAAGCATCCGCCAGGGCCTCACTGTGTACTACGTATTGTGTGATGGAAAACTGGGTATATTGCGCTCCATACCTGTTTACTAGTGACTTGCAATTTCCGACCTTCCGTCGCGGGAAGTCCTTCCAAGTTCCAGCCGTCTAGACGGCGAGCTTCACCCACTCCAACGCGCATAAGACCTCCTGGTGCCAACCCGCGTGGGCGGCTAGGTCCAGCAAAAATTCCTCCTTCTCGTCGTGGATCCGTGGACCTCCGGAGCCTGATTGCCCTCGACTTCGCGTGGCTGGCTCCGCAGAGCATGATTTCTAAACCGGCGTCGATCTACCGGATCTTGGCATCAGTGCCGGCCCGGCCGTCCAGGGCGTTCGTGCCGTCGCCCAGCCGGATTCGGCACCGTCGGCTTCCAACATGCCCACGTTGGCCACGATGGCTACGGCGTCGAGCTGGCCGAGTTTGTCAAGCCCGAGAGGGTCAGACTTGTCTATGGGCATTTCTGGAGTCGGTGCTCGTCGACGGGTTCGTTTGACTGGCCGGCCAGTTGAATGGTGGTTTGTGCGGATTCGACAGGGTGATGTGGGATGTGATGAGGATGGACAGAATCTTCGTCAACTCTGATGAGTAGTAAGATATGTCCCGTCGAGTCCTCTCCGAAACGTTGTGTTGAGGCATGGAGGTCTTGGCGCTTGTAGAAGGCCCCCCCTTCAACGATTCGCGGTCGTTGATGAAGCACCGGGGGTCGCTCTGTCTCAACTGACGTGTGGTTGCTTTCTTCGGAAGCCACTATGGTGTTGCTTGAACTCTGACCACTGGGGGTGGAGGTCTCTGGATCGTCTCCCTCTGTCTCTTAGTCGACTCTTTGGTTAATAGCGCCAGCACTATTTACACTTTGTCGTGTATGTTCCCGGGAGGGGTGGATCATCCTCTAGGCTTGCATAATCTCCAGCTAGATGCTGGCTGTCTTATGCGAGGCATATCGTAACATGAAGGGCTAGATCTCCGTCTAAACCTGTACAATCTCCAGCTTGCTGTTGGCTGTCTTATACGAGGTGTAGGCTGAAGTGCTAGGTCCTCTGAAAGGCCTGCGTAATCTCCTGCTTATTGCAGGCTGTCTTATGCGAGGCGTGGGGTAGGCGGGTGGGCTAGATCCCCTCCTAAACTTGTATGATCTCCAGCTTGTAGCTGGCTGTCTCGTACGAGATTTAGGGCGAGGGCTATACCCTTTGATAGGCCTGCATAATATCCTGCTTGTCGCGGGCTGTCTTATGCGAGGCCAGTGTTGTAGGTCGGTGGTGTTGAGAGCATTGGGGACTGTCGCGGCCCCTTCCCTATGGTTAAAGGTTGCCGAAAGATGTGCCATGTCGGAGACGGCGGTTGGAGACCTCCACGGTCGATGGGGAGAGAATTCCAGTGATCCTTGAGTCGTTGATCCTCGAGCTGTAGGAGGAGAGCTAGGCGCGACAGGGGTAATGGATACACAAAGGGGTGCCATTTGTGCTATATGGCACGCCCTGGTCTTATGTGAGCATAAGGTATGTGTGTAACCGAGCAGATATGATATTAGCGGCCTGTTCAGGACTTGATATACTGCGTTGCCGATGTGGTTCAAGCTGAACCGGTGTTGGCGGTTTGGGAATCCATAGAGGGCTCCTGTTGCCTGGGGGGGGGGGGGGTAGAGAGGGGATGAGACTGTGTCTGAAGAGAAGAGAAGAGAATAGAAAATGTAAGGGAAAATGTGAACATCTTATAGGTATTTGGAAATCATCAAGGTGCTCGAAAGGCCGTGATCCATTCTATCTCCGTTGTCTCCGAGGTTATGAGGACCCACGGGTAAGTGCCCTGATGGCTATGTTGAGTTTCCTCACCCATCAATGGAGGTGGATTACCTTGAGGGTAGAGTGGCAGAGAAAAGTTAAAAGTCGAGAACTGCTGCATGAACCTCTCGGACTTCCGGTTCGCGATCTTGCGGGAAGATTTATGGGCGATGGAAAAGTTAGCCCTTACTCGAGGACTGGCTCTGGGAAGTTTCACAACTGCAGAACCGTATCTAGATCTGGTTGTACCTCAACCCTAAGGATCGCAATGGAAAGCTGAGTACCTTATTATCGAAGAAAATGAAATTTGTGGGAGTCACAAGTACGAGGATACAATTTTAATAAAACACTGTAGTGCCCACCCAGCAGTTCGGAGCTCAAGAGTCTTGAGAAGTAGGTAGGAAAATACGGAAGTCATGCTGTTGGTTCTCAGACCCAGGCACGTGAACTGCTGCAAGGGTAAAGCAGGCGCGGTTTTATCATATTCGCTTGTGATATCATTTGTTCGGATAGTTTAACGACAGGCAAGTGAGAACAACCCTGATGACCATGGCGTTCTTAAGCTTTGGAGATATGCTATTGTCTCATCTGGTTGTGTCAGGTGACAGTCCGCTCTATCGGAGGTTGGATGACTGGAGAAACGTCCTACCGCAAGCGAGAGACATGTGGTTTTGCATCCCAACACAACAAACTGATTGAAAAGGAAATGTGACTGAGAATATCGTCCGCATCTTGGGACGGAAATAGAGTTGACAGCCGACCAGCAGGGGCGAAGGCAAACGGGACGGCAGCCATCCACTGGATCGGGTCTGGGCTTTTTTTTTTTTCTTAGGTGACCATCGGAAGCCAAGTGCCAGGGTAGGAGCTCTGGAGCTCCAACTTGCTAGCTTCCAGAAAGAGGGCCGAAAAACCATGCATTAGCGCAACTGCAAGCGTCCGGGAGGGAGGCTTGGGAGGGGCGGCCGCACGGGAAGGACGCTGGAGACGTTGCAGGCGCCGCAGCAGCTGCCAATCAGACCGGCCGGAGCGATGATCCTCCCCCAGGCGGTTTCCTATCGATAAGATCGGTTCGTGCCCCAGAAGCAGCAGCGTCTGTGACCCTTGCAGTGCGCCAGTGATGCGGTGGTGCATCACTGGGTGCGACCTGACAGCTGACGTCAGGGGTCTGAGATGGACGCAGCTTCCCGCGCGACTACAAACAGAGCTCACCTCCCCGGTTTCCCTCACACGATGCTGCCGTTGCTTGTGTTTGCTTCGCAAACTTACCGTTTCATCTTTGCACTCTCTTCTTCTCGTTCTGTGTATATGTGTCTGAGGTAGACACGATATACAGACAGACAGGCAGACTTACACACAGGCTGACCGACATATTCACCGTCCGTTGGCTTGGTGTCTAATCATAGCCCATGATTTCTTTGTAGCTTTTCACCTTGTATTCACCGTGTCCCTTTCCCGCATTCGCCTAATTCCAGGGTGGCAGTTGGTCCCTCGAAATATTGCCCAGTATGGAAACCGCGCCTGGCTCTTCGCCTTCCCCGGCAGCACCTGCCGTGGGGCAGGATGCGGTCGTGCAGGAGGCAGCGACGGACGTACCACCTCACAACCACCCAAGGAGTACAAACACAGAAACCCCTCCTGCCAGCTCTCACCCTGCTGCAGCACCTGATCCGACTTCCAATCCTGATCACAACATCAACACTTTACCCTCGGAGAACGACGAGGACCAATACAACTACGCCTACTCTGACGAGGAGAACTTGGACGCATCTTCTATTTGCTCCTTTGAAGAGGAAGAAGACGGCAACTGGGAACGAGACCCAGACGACCCCGATACCATGGCCGGCTCGAGACGCCCTCACGGCCAGCGCCGTCGTACCCAGACCGATCTTACGGGCGTTCTCACTCTCGAGGAGAAGAACGAGCTCATCAATTTGGTCAGCAACATCTTGGACAGTATGCAAGACCAGATAAGCAACATCTTTCACTCTCCTCCCATCACTCCCGCTACGACCGAGGACCCCCAGCACTCATGGCTATCCCTCTCGCTGCTGAAAAATAAAGTGAGCGGCACGCCTGCCGCCCCTCAATCTCAATCTCAGGGCGGCGCCAACAAGGAGAATACCGGCCCTGCTTCGACTTCGAACCAGCAGAAGGGTAGCTTGACGTACAATAAAGCCCATGAGATAGTCGAGAAGGAAGAGAAAGAGGCTATGACGCCTCAGCTCCAGGAGCTCAAGAAGGAGTGTCTTGTCGTCTTCAGGAAGTGGCAGGGCAATGTCCTGACGCGCGCCAAGGACATTTCGGTCAAGGATCCCGAGGCTTCAGCCGCCCAAGCCAGTCGAGGAGGTCGTGGTGCTGTTCGTGGAGCCCGCGGCGGTCGCGGTGATCGTGGTGCGCCTCAGGGAGGTCGAGGCACTGCCCCGCGCGGCCGTGGTAGTAGAGGCGGCGCCCTCAGCGTCAAGACAGGAGGTACGTTGAAAGCTGCTGACCCCATAATCCCTAGCTTATATGCTGACTTGAACAGGCTCGCCGGCTACCCGTCAACCCGAGACCGATCTCTGGCTCACAAGACGATTCCCTCCAAGTGCCACACCACTGACCGCCCTACCCATCGAGCGCCGGAAGTTGTTGCTTCACACAATCCTCCTGCTTCTCCTGTCATTGGAACAGTACACAGCCTTCTCTCGCGTCTTCATGCTCAAGTTGGCGTCATCGCTTCACCTAACTCTCCGCTTCTTTCAAGAGGATGAGGTTCGGGTTGCCAGAGGTCTCGGCAAGACTGTGCAGGAGGTCAATGCCGATGAGATAGTGGAGGACAAGTCTGCAGAGAACAAGTCAACCAGACGCTGGAAGGTTGGACTTGCTGGCGCCGCCGGTGCTGCCATCATTGGTGTCACTGGAGGTCTTGCGGCTCCCCTGGTCGCTGCTGGCATTGGCACCGTTATGGGCGGTGTTGGACTTGGTTCCACGGCGGCAGCTGGATTGCTCGGTACTCTAGCCCAGAGTGGCGTTGTCGTTGGCAGCTTGTTCGGCATTTATGGTGCTCGCCAGACATCCAAGATGATGGACCAGTACGCCAGAGATGTTGCCGACTTTGCGTTTCTACCTTTGCATGGCGAGATGCGAGATGAGTATCGCGACGCCAAAGAGATCCCGTCCAAGGACCGTCGCCTTCGAGTTGTCCTTGCCCTCAGTGGTTGGCTTACTCAGAAGGAAGACGTGGTCAACCCCTGGCGTTGCATCGGCCACCAAGGTGAGGTGTACGCTGTGCGATGGGAAGTTGCCAACCTGATGAATATGGGTAACTCGCTCGAGACTGTCATCAAGAGTACCGCCTGGAGTGTTGCCAAGAAGGAAATCATTACGCGGACCAGTAAGTTTCTCGTCACATGATGTAAAACCCCCTTGCTAATCATTCATAAGTCTTTGCCAGCCTCATGTCAGCCATGTGGCCCATTGGCCTTCTCAAGGTCAGCAAGGTCATTGACAATCCTTGGAGTGTCGGAATGGTCCGAGCCGAGAAGGTCGGCATGATCCTAGCGGAAGCCATCAGTCGCAAAGTGCAGGGCGATCGACCTGTAAGCTTGATTGGCTACAGCTTGGCTGCCCGAGCCATCTACACCTGCTTGATGGTCCTTGCCGAACGCCGCCAATTCGGCCTCATTGAGTCCGTGGTCATGATTGGCACCCCGGCGCCATCCGAAAGCCGAGTTTGGCTTGCTTTGAAGAGCGTCGTTGCGGGCAGACTTGTCAACGTCTATTCGGAGAACGATTATATCCTGGGCTTCCTATATCGTACGTCCAACCTCCAATTCGGCGTTGCTGGCTTGCAACCAATCCAGGGCGCCGAAGGCGTAGAGAACTACGACGTGAGTAGCATGGTTAGCGGCCACCTGAGATACCAATACATGATTGGTACCATCCTCAAGAACATCGGCTGGGAGGATCTCGACTACGCGCAGATCGAAAAGGACGAGCAAGTCCTCAGCCTCATGGATGAGAAATACGGCCGTGACAAGAGCCAGAAGCCAACTTACGTCGACATGGACAAGGAGGCTGAGCACATTCAGGAGGAGGTGCAGCACAAGAACGATGCCAAGCTCGATTCGAAAATGAGCAAGATGAAGATCCAGGATTAGGCTACGGAGAGCATCTTAGCTGCGGTGATCGGTAGAAATATGGTTAGACATGAGCCATTGTTATTGTACGTGGTAAACGACGTGGATTATGGATGGATGGACTATTGCAACATTATTAGCTATGACACTGGGAAAACGGGCACACACATTTGTAACACGACGAGATACGATCAATGGGAAAACGAATATATTTATCAATGGAATGTCTCACCGGGTATCCTACTTGATGGGTATCATGCTTCCTCTTTTTTGCTGCTCTGAACGACAAAGTATTTTCCAGCCGTCCTCGACGCGGTCTCTAGAGGATTCCAGTCCTCAACTCCTTTGGTTTCAACCTTTTCCCCGCGCAATCTCTTTGGCCGTTTCTTGTGACCAAAGCTGATTTCCTTGCCCAGGGCATTCTGTAGCTCTTGCAAGCCAATAGTTGCTTCAGCCACGCCCTCTGTTGTTTCGTCGCGTAACGAACGAAGTGGTTCAACGCCAGTGGTATCTACGCTCTGAACATCGCGCACGAAATGTAGTTGAGAGTGCAGTGTGCGCAACATCGCGGTCTCCTCCGCCTCGGATTCGGGGAGCGGGAGGGCGGACAGGCGAAGGAGGTGATGGAGCTTTGCGCGGGAGATTGGTTCCTCTGTTGACTCCCTCGCAGCGCCGCTCTTTGAGGAGGATGGGAGGAGAGAGGCGACAGACCATGTGGGTTTCGAGAGGATTGTCGATGCTGATTTCGGAGTTGAGAGGCAAACGGAGGAGGATGTGAATGTGCGGGTTTGGGGGAGGAGCGCGCTGCAGCGCCTGCAGAGTGGACGAATCGTGGCCATGACCGTCGTTCAATGGCCTAGGGCTGTGGATGTGACTTGTTTAGAGAGTTTAGAAGTCGTGATTGTAGGCTTGGTGTTGCCAAATTTGGTTGACCTAGAAAACGACCTACTTTAGAACCTAGAGCTTGAACCCTGGTGTTTCTTCTCCAGCAGCCAAGGGACCAGGGGAAAGGCAAGTCAAAGTCTCGACGAATGAGAGTGTTTGGACACGACTCCAACAGAACCCCACCACAGGAGCCTGCAACAGCAACACTGACATGGGGATTCGCAAGCAAACGTAAGCCACCCTCACCTTGGTTTCCGCTAAGCCACAGCGACTCACCCCGCGCGTCATAGCTGGCTGGGCTGGCTACTGGTGCCACCGAACCCCCGAAGAAGCCAGCCCAAAACGCAGGGCCAGCCGAAGTGGGCGGGTTGGGGGTGTGTCGCGCTGCTACAGTTTCGAAGCGCTGATGCCAGCCAGCAACCACCACCACTGCCACCTCTCACATCCTGATCAACGAACCAAGCGACGCACACCCTTCCTTTCTCTTCCTACAACCCGCGAACTGTCCTCTCGAGACACCTACTATAAAGAGAGGTCTGCGATAACCTACCCGACGAACGCACGTATACGGCGGCACACTGCAAGCCATCGAGACCCGACACCTATCGATCGAGAGACACATATACAACACACCCCATAATCGTAGCCTAGTGCTTGCTTAATTCCGAAACCATGGCTCAGGACCCTCGTGCTCTGCTGCAAAAGGTGCGTTGATGTTGGAATTTTCTTTCAACCGTGGGGCTACACTGTTCATGGTGCAGACGGCGGGGAAGAGAGACACCGCCCAAGCGACCCCGCGATGCACATTCATGCTGGTCGTTATCGGTATGGCGATACACGATCGCTGACGTTTCGTGATCGTGTAGGCAGACAAGACGCTCTCGAGCGCCGGCGGTGGCTTCAGCTTCTTCGGCGGTCGGGAGGACAAGTACCAAAACGCCGCGGACCTGTACATGCAGGCAGCCAACGCCTTTAAGATGCAGAAGCTCAGTCAGTCATTCCCCATCCTCTTCCACGAATACCATCTTCCTTTGACGTTTCCCATGAAACAAGCAAAAGGCTAACCAGTGGCCAAATGTTCGCCAATCCCTACAGACCGTGAAGCAGGCCAGGCCTTTGAGAAAGCGGCCCAAGTACAGACCTCCAACCTCAAGGAGCCCGACGACGCCGCAAACACCCTCGTCGACGCCTTCAAGGCCTACCGCAAGGACGACCCCGAGGCCGCTGTACGATGTCTCGAGGTCGCCGTCACGCAGTACTGCACCAAGGGCAACTTCCGCCGCGCGGCGGGCCACAAGGAGGCGCTCGGCGAGCTGTTCGAGACGGAGCTCGGCGACTCGAAGCGCGCTCTCGAGAGCTACGAGGCTGCGGCGGGGTGGTATGAGGGCGACAACGCTGCTGCGTAGGTGGAACCTGTGTCAGTTCTGGCAAGAAAACGACTTAGCTAACATTACTCTAAAAACCCAGTCTCGCCAACAAGCTCTGGCTCAAGGTAGCAGACGTGGCCTCCATCGAGGGCGACTACTACAAGGCTATCGAAAACTACGAAAAGGTGGCCGCCGTCTCCATCAACAACAACCTAATGAAGTACAGCGTCAAGGACTACTTCCTCCGCGCCGGCATCTGCCACCTCGCGACGGGCGACATGGTGGCCGCCCGCCGCGCCGTCGAAAAGTACGCCGACATGGACCCCGGGTTCGCCAACCAGCGTGAGGCCATGCTGCTCAACGACCTGCTCGCCGCCGTCGAGGGCGGCAACCAGGAGGAGTTTACGGATAAGCTGTTCCAGTACGATCAGGTTAGCAAGCTCGACAAGTGGAAGACGACGATGCTTGTGCGGGTGAAGAATGCGATTGAGGAGCCCGAGGATGAGTTTGCCTAAGTGATTTACAGTGGAGGTGAAGTCAGAAGAAGGGAGTCACGCGGCATCGTTGGGATGCAGCATTACGGACAGCCGGACGTGGCTAGTCAGGATGAGAATCCCCTTGGAAGGAAAGTTGCCGGAATCATGGTATGTCTACACGGATGCGCCGGGGATAGGGGGCGGAAAGGAAGAGAGGTTGTAACAGAGTGGACTTACTACACCAGAAGAATCGGCATGGTCTGTTTTTTCCCGTTTGAATAGAAATCCATATCCACCACGTTTAGTGAACTATGGCGCAGAGAAGGCTTGTGACCAGAATGCTGTGACAAAAAGTTCCGTGTTCCGATATTCACTTGGCTGGGCCGGTGACGTAACTCTTCATCATCCATTTCGAGTCAAAGTCACGATACAGATCAAGTTGAAGAACTATCAAGACCTTGGGGCCTAGTATATTCGTCGTTTCTCCTTGTCTTCTTACTCTAGTGTTTGCGCAAGTTGAAAAAACGACCAAAGAGGGGCAGTTGTGTCGCGACTGCGAACAGCCCCATGCCACCCGCCAATACTCTCTCTCACTCTGTGCGTCCCCCCTCTCTACCTGCTTCTTTTGCTTGCTAGTTTGCATTTCTTGCTCGACAGCAATGCAGTTATCCGGAAATGGCAATAGAATCCAAGTTCTGGCTCGCAGCTGGAAATTGAAAGACTCGCAAAAAAGAAATGAAGAACGACTTCTTGATGAGGAACCCCCTAGCCCTCTTTTTACCCCAGACTCCCCCTTATGCTCGAAATGATTTTATACAATTCTGCCCCCTGCCGTTTATTAAACATACATTCTCCCTATCGTACAGTGCAGAGAGGCAGAAGTCGGAATGTTCGTCGAATCATGACCGGCAAATCGCCGGCAAACGTCATCGTCGATATTCATTCAGTTTGGTGGACTGCCAACCATGCTGGGTACTTGCTTCCTGATGAAACCGTGTGCCCGTTGCTCGGCCCGAGGGACACCCTGGATCGCTCGGGGCTCTCTCATCAGACTGGGGTCCAACTTGGTAGGAATCCGGGTGACGACGGTTCGGTACTCGCCCGGGAACTTGGCACTGGGAGCAGGCACCGAAGCCGTCCGCCACATGTGGTCCGAAGTATCGCCCAGATACGTCGGAATCTTGAGCTTTGATGGCGCAGCGAACCCTGAAGCGTTGCTTGACGCGCCGTGCGACATACGGATGGTTGACAGACGAGAGAACCCCGTGGAGAGCCCAGGCCGTCCGCGAGCCTTCTTGGCCATGATGATCTCGTCAAAGAGACGGATCGACGCGTGCGTCGCCGAGTGTGTCTCACGCTCATGAATGAACTCGTTGAAAGCTGATGATTTGTTAGCATTGCCAAGGAACGTCAAGCCGAAGAGCCCTTATCTTACCTTGAGTTTCTCTCAACATTGTGGCATACTCTTGTTGATCGTACGGAAGACTCTTAATGAAGCTGTTCATGTCGAAATTGTAGAGTTGGCCATTGTTCTTTTGCTCACGAGTAGGACGGCCCAGATGCTTTCTGTACGTGTACAAGAGGCTAGCGAGGCATCGAACGAAAGCAGCTCGGACTCGGTCAGGGTGGAATGCTTCGCTGCACACCACGGAGACCTGTCCCAGGCAGCGGTTGTGGGAACGGGCATTGCAGTGAGAACACTCGTAAATGCCGTCTCCTTCTGACTTGTCGTCGCAGACGGAACATGTCGAGGACAGGTCATGGGCCATCCAGTTGAAGCAATGGCCCTCGACCCACACCATTGTGTCGGTGTTCCGTACGGGTTGAATCAGCATGTTGGGCATGATGGTTGATGCCGCCAGGGTAGACTGGGCATACGTGGAAGGGGCATATCCAGGCGTGTACCCATTGTATGAAGACTGCGAATCGACCGAGATTGCGGATACCGACATGCTTGGATTGTGTCCGTTGAGGAAGGGCAAGCTTGGTCGGTGAAGAGGCGGGTGCTTGTCCATGCCAAAGGACGAGCTGCGGCGAGACTTCTCATCAAAGTGGCCCGACTTCTTTTCTCTCAGAGTCTGTGCAAAACCGGAATCGCTGCGTGACACAGGCGTAGTCGGCATAGGGGGGAAGTTCATTGAGACTGGTGAGATGGATGACTGTGGGCTGGTTTTACCGGACTTGCTGGTAGTCGGCCGGTCCTTGCTGTGATCGCCAGCCTTCGAATGCATGAAAGCATTGAAGATTGGTGGTCGCACCGAGTTCGGTGGGGCTGGCTCTCCGAAAGACGAAG